GTATTGATGAGTGTTTCTGTTGAAATTGATTTCTAACTTTTTTCTACTGTGGCCTGAGAAGGTACATATTATAATTTCTATTTTTTTAAATTTTTTGAGACATATTTTGTGGCCTAGGATGTGATCAGCCTTAGAGAATGTTCTAGGAGCTGATGAAAAGAATGAATATTCAGCAGCTTTGGGGTAAAATGTTCTGTAGATATCCGTTCAGCCCATTTGTTCTAGAGTTCTGTTTATGTCTATTGTTTCTTTGCTAATTTTCTGTTTGGAAGATCTGTCCAGTTCTGTCAGTGGGATGTTGGAGTCCCAGCTATTACATTGTTGCTGTTTATCATTTTGTTTAGAGTGAGTATGATTTGCTTTATGAATCTGGGCGTTCCTGTGTTAGGTGCATAAATATTTATGATTATTAAGTCTTTTTGTTGAATTGTTCCCTTCACCATTATGTAATTATCACCTTTGTCTTTCATTACTTTCATTGATTTGAAGTTTATGTTATCTCATATGAGAACAGCTATACTAGCTTTCTTTTGGTTTCCATTTGCATGGAATATTTTTTCCATTCTATCTCTTTGAGTCTGAATGAGTCCTTGTGGGTTAGATGTGTTTCCTGAAGACAACAGGTACTTGAATTATATTTTTTCAATCAATTCAGCCAGCCTTCATCTCTTAAGTGGAGAGTTCAAGCCACTCACATTTATTGATATAATTGATAAGTGGGGTGTATTTCCGTTCTCCTCGTTTTTTAGATCCTTATTGCTTTGTTTTATCTCTTGAGCCCTTGTGGTATCTCGGCGGTAACTTTTTGCTTTTGAATTGTTTTACTCTGGTGGGTGTCTATTTTGCTGATCATTTTATAATGGAGGTCTGAGTACTTCCTGCAGGGTACTTTGGGTCTTCACAAATTCTCTCAATGATTGCTTGTTTGAGAGAGTCTTTATTTCTCCCTCATATAAGAAACATAATTTTCCCAGATATAAAATTCTAGGCTGGCCATTATTCTGTTTCAGAAGACTGAGGATGACTCCCCAGTCCCTTCTGGCTTGTAAAGTTTTGGGTGAGAAATCTGCAGTTATTCTGATGGGTTTTCCTTTGTATGTTACCTACTATTTTCACCTTACTGCTCATAGGAGTGCTTCTTTCATGCTCACGTTATCCAGTCTATGACTAGGTGTTGTGGTGATTGTACTTTTATGATGAATCTTCCAGGAGTTCTGGATTCTTCTTGTACCTGCATATGTAGATTTTTAGCAAGGCCAGGAAATTGTCCTCAATTATTACCCCAAATACATTTTTCAATCCTTGTGTATTTTCTTATTTGCCCTCAGGGATGTTTATGGTTCTTATGCTTGGCCTTTTTAGATAATTCTACATTTCTTGTAGTCTTTGTTTTTTCCTCTTATTTTTTTGTTCTTTCTCTTCAACTGATTTGTTTAGCTCATAGGTGTTATTTTCATGCTCTGAAGTTCTTTTGTCTGCCTAATCTAATTTATTCTTAAGGTTTTCCACTGTGTTTTGTAATACTTTAATGAATTTTTTATTTTCAGAATTTCTGTTTGTTTTCTGTTTAATAATTCAAAATTTAAAGATAATTTTTAATTCATTTACTGCATTGTTTTTGTGACTGCTTTGTCTTGCATTTTTATTTTCTCTTGCATTTCATTGCACTTTCTTATAGTCCATATTCGAAATTCTTCATCTGTTACTTTAGCCGTTTCATTTAAGTTGGTAACTGTTGGTAAGGAGTTACTGATTTCTTTTGGGGGTATCCTTTCTCTCTTATTTTTCATATTTCTGGAGTTATCTTGCTGATTTCTTCTTTTAGCCTCTTAATCAAGAGATGGGGGTGCTAGGGCTGGCTTATGGACCTGTCTCCACATCCCCAATGATGGGTGTCTGACCATGATAGAGGGAGGAGTGCTGGTCTTGAGTTGCTTTTGAAGCATTTTAGTTGGTTTGGTGAACCTCTTGGGTTATCCCTGACCTGTTGTCTTGCTCTTCCCAATGAAGCTTAGTGAGTTTTGTCCCCCACCTTAATCTCCAAGCTGGTGGATTGTACTTCTGGGTATGAATCCACTGCTCCTTAATTGCTTTAGTTGGAATGTACTATATTTAGCTATTGGATTGTCTTTGATTGTAGTTTGCATGAAGAAGGAGCTACTTAGGTAATCTTTTGTGCCTGTGGTAGTCTCCTGTTCCCCAAGGTGAGGCACATGAATGACCCAAGCTTTAGGAGAGAACTATAGCTCCTAGGGAGTTGCTTTGCTCCTACTTACCTTAAAGAGTGTGTGTTGAGGGCAGAGCAAGACAGATTGTGGCTAGAATGCAAGAGACTGAGGGGCTTTGCTAAGCCTCAGTGAGGCTCAGGTTGCTTATCTGGCCACTATGGGAGTCACTAATATGGAGTTCAAATCAATCTCTCCAAGCCAGGAAGGCTGTTCCTGGAGTAGTGGGCTTATTAATATGATTGCAAAGGCCCAGGTCAGGCTCTTTTCATCTCTGTTCACTCTCCCAGTTTTTAGGCTGGGTGGGGTGAATGCCCTCCCCATTTCCTCCATGGAACTCCACAGTCCTCTCCCCTCAGATCAGTCTGAGTGTGTGTTTCCTTGCTGCCCCAAACTGACTCTTCAGTTTATGTGTCTGACTTGCTGGCGTTTCTCTGCTGTCAGTGGCAGGCACAGATATGTACATGCCCCTTTCCAGGGTGAAACAAACCTCTGGCCGAGAACACTTTCATGGTTGCTATGGAGGGGGGTGGTCCACAGTCTTCATGCACTGCTCCCATGCCTGGGGGCACTGGTCTAGCCACCTGTTCAAGCCACCAGTGGTGATCCTGATAAATGCTGGTATGGAGAGAAGCAGGCCTCTCAGCACTGAACACTCTCATGGTTGCTATGGGGTGGACGGGCCACAGCTACAAGTGGACTCAAGCCAAAATTGCTTTCTATGATGCCCAGAATGGGGGCGATACAGAGGAGGAAGTGTCTAGGTGCAAGAAGGCTGGCTCTCTGGTCCCTTGTGGCACTCTCCCATGGGGTGAGAGTTTTTGTGTTTCACTGCTTGCCAAAAGCACCCGAGTTAGGGTGGGGTGGACCCCTCCCTTGCCCTTTCACTTGGCTCCAGGTTTCTCCGGATTTGGTCTGCACCACCACTGTTCTCTCCTCTCTCTCTTGTCTTTACAGCCCTTCTTGGTGGGGTCCTCATGCCTCTATTGTTTCTCCAGTGACCTACACCCAAGATGTGACTTCTCTCAGCTCTCCTCAGTGTAAACTTCACATTCTAGCTGGGGCAGTCTCATGAGTGCTGTCTCAATTTGGCCCTCTTCCCTGCCATTTTTCCTTATAAATTTTCTGCTTCACCATCAGAGATGATGATGAACCTGATCTTTGGATATTTTATTTATTTATTTATTTTTTCTCTCATACCAGCTGTTTTAATTTTGAGGTGACAAATGTATAGGTGGAATAAAATTAAGCAAGACCCTCCAAATTCCTCTTACATGACAAGGAGCTGAATGTAATTTTGTTCCATCACCAACTAAACTAATTATTTAGCAATAATTTATTAGAAAGGAAGTCACAGCACAGAAACAACACCCTGGAGTTGTGATCCATTTATAACTTGATTTTCACGTAGTTTTAGTTGGAAGTATCAGTTTTATATCTGTGCTGATCAATGTTCAACCTGGTCCATCCAGCTGGCTCACCCTACCTGCCATGGTCTGATCTGCCCTATGCCCCTCTTAGGGGAGGTCCCTGGTCTGAGTCAAAACTCTAGGTAGCATATAACCAAATAAGGGTAGATCTGACAGGTGACTTCTGCTTTAACCCAGCAGCTTTGAAGGTAGCATTTTTTTCTTCACAACTTATAGGAAAGAAACAGTAATGGCTAAAGGTTTGAGGTAACCCTAAGTTCAAATTATAGTCTACCTTCCAGGGATAAAATAATTTCTTATATCCCTCCAACCAAGCTACAATTTACAGTGGTAGTCCATACAAACTATAGTCCATAATAGAAGTCGGTTAGTACAGTTCTTGCCAAAATATCACTTGAGCAGGAAACCCTTTGTAATATGGCTGTGCAATGAGAGGAATGGTCCTTTGGAGGGAAGCTGAACCTGGGAGAATGAGGTGGAAAACACTTGAGTTCTATGCCTTTCAAGATCCTCAAGTCACCCAGGATCACTGGTCAGAGGAGAAGCTGGCTGTGCCATACGGCCAAACCACTAGCATTCTCCCTTGGCTTCTGTTGCTGCACTGAGACTGCTGGGTGCATGGGAGGGTTTCGTCTTTACAAGTAAGCACTTTGGTGGGAGAGCACTGCAAAGGCTGTCAACAGAAAAGTCATAAAACCACAAAAAACAAGGTGCAGAAGTCATAGGCAAACAGTGATATCAGTGTATCATTTAAAAAACACTGGTTTATCCTCACCACAGGGTTTGGAAGGTTCAGAAGACTTCCAAGAGAGATGATTGTATATGATTGTATCACATCCCCTATTCCAACCACTGAAGGGCACCGAACAGTAGGGACTAAGTTGGCCCTGCAACTGGGTGTGCTAACCAGGCACAGGAAGCCAAGCCCGATCCACAGATGTGCTTTTATTCTTTAGAGGATCTAGAATCTAGTTCAGAAATGTCATATCAGCAGCCCTGAGACCATGCCCTAGTAACTCTGCCAAGGGAGGGAGAGGGGAAGGGAAGAGAAACCACAGACCTAGAGATGGGCCAGGATGTCCACTTTGTGCCTTGGGGTTCGCTAGGGGGCTGGGTGCTGCTACCGGCTGTGCTTTACTGGTGGAACTGAACATGGCAAAGCCAAGAGAAGCACAAAGTGTCAGTGTGGTCACTGGCATCTCAAAAGCATATCTTGAAAATGTAAATGAACAGATTCCATATGTACACTAGAGGTGATTTACACTTAAAACATTTAAATATAAATTAAGCTATAACTTGAGTTACAACAACAACAACAAAAAAACCAAAAAGACACTTAGCAATTGAATGCTGAATACATACACAGGACACCCCAAACACGAGGCCATTAAAGCAATGCCATTTTCATTGTGCCAACTTTACATTCATCATGTGCTAGTCCGGCAGGGCTGCGCTGACTGCCATGTCATGCCGTCTGGCACTGCACTCTGGCCCAGGGCCCGTCATCATCCTCCTCGTAGGCCTCCCCATGCTGGCACCAGTTCTGCTCACTGGGATTAAACTCCTTCAGCTCCACCTGATCCATGTCATCTGTAATCTTCACTTTCTGTCGAGGAGGGAGCAGAGCTTCCAGCTGAGGAATCTTTTCTGGAGAAAGCCAGTGTTTTTCAGGAAAGATTACCAAAAATTGTATGATCAGAGTCCCTTTTTCCAGGGGTGCTTCGTAGATGGGCATTCCTTCGTTTTGCACACACTTCAGGTCCCCATGCTTTATTATCTCACCTGATTTGGATGTAATAACAAGAATTCGATCATCCAGGGTTTTTACTGTCTTCTTAAAGCCACAAAGAGCTTCAGAAAGATGAATTTTCATTTTCATGATTAAGTCATGGCCTCGTCTCTGAAAGACACTATGATCCTTCTGATCAAGCACAATTATGACATCATCGGGCTCCAGCTCAGGTTCCTGATCTCCTTCTGCATGGAACAGTATCTTCTGCCCATCTTTCATACCTTTTTCAACATGTACCTCGATAATCTTCTTCTTGCAGATCACCTTGGCACCGCTGCAGCTCTCACAGCGGTCTTTGGGGTTGATGCGCTCTCCCTGGCCCTTGCACTCGACGCACACAGTCTGGATCTGCTGCACCATGTCCGGTCCGATCTGCTGGATGTGGATCTGCATCCCCCGCCCCTTGCACAGCGGGCACTTTTCCACGGACCCCTTCTTCCCACCAATGCCTTCACATTTCTCACAAATTACATTTTTCTGGAGGGCCAATTTCTTTGTGACTCCATTATATAAGTCTTCAAGAGTTACAGACAACTGATGTACAACATTCTTGCCTCTTCTCTCTCTGGCCATCTGTCCTCCACCACCAAAGAACATGTCAAAGATTTCCATGGGTGAAGAGAAGCTGGGGCCACCTGAGCGTCCTTCTTTAATTGCCTGTTCTCTGCCCTGGTCATAAATGTCCCTTTTCTTGGGATCTGAAAGCACTTCATATGCCTGGGATATAAGTTTAAACTTCTCGCCCTCATCCGGGTTCTTGTCCGGGTGGTACTTGAGCGCCAGCTTGCGATAGGCCTTCTTGATCTCCTCTGGGGAGGCGCTGGGCTTCACCCCCAGGATGTCATAATACTCGGTCTCCTTCACAATCTTGTCTCTGCGGGGCGGGGCGGGGCGGGGCGGGTCAGCGCGACCCCCCCCCCCCCCCCCCCCCTGGCAGCCAGCGAGTCACGGCCTTGCCGCCTCCCCGCCCACGCCGCCGCACTCCGATCTTTGGATATTTTACACAATCCTGTATGTCTTGTAGGCTTTGCTCATTCCTCTTAATTCTTTATTTATTTTTTACTGACTGAGTCATTTTGCAAGAGTTGTCTTCAAGGTCTGAGATACTTTCTTCTGCTTTTTCTAGTCTATTCTTAAAATGTTACACTGTGATTTGTATTTCCTTAAATGAATTGTTTATTTCCAGAAGTTCTATTTATTTTTTTTCAATATGTTGATCTCTTCTTTAAATTTTTATTTCATTTCCTAAATTCTTTTTCTGGTTTCTTTGAGTTGGTTTCCATTTTCTCGTGGATTTCATTGAGCTTCCTTACAGTCCATATTTGGAATTCTTTTTCTGTCATTTTAATATTTTCATTTTGGTTGGGATCTATTACCAGAGAGCTGGTTTTCCCCTTTGGGGGTTTCTTTTCAGTTTGATTTTTTCATGCTTCCAAAGTTCTTTTGCTGATTCCTTCTCATCTGGAGCAACTGTCACTTTTTTATTTTTGGATATTTTTTGTTTTTATGGGGCTTTTCCCCCCACCCCTCACTCATAAAGGTGTGTCTCTAGCATATGTTTGGTAAGAAACTTTGGCTTTGCTTATTGGTGCTTTGATTGTGGTCTAGTTCTGGATGGGTGCCTTTGCTATAGATATCCATTATGTGGTGGTTTTCTCAGTTGCTAATTGTTTGTAGGCTGTAGCAGTGGTGAGTGATATATGTTGGCAGATTCCCTGTCTCTCTTTGATGAGGGAGGTTGTTGGAGGTCTTTGAAATTAGTTCTCTTTCCTCTGCCATGTGTTCTCCTTAACAGTGGCACACTCAGTTTAATCTCTGAGACAGTAGGTGATGCTTGTGGGTAAGAATCAACTACACACCATCTACTTGTGTCAGTAAATGTTCTAAGGGGCTGTGTAAATTGATCTGCCTGGTGCTTGCCGGAAGGAACAAGCTACAGTGTTGTTTTTGGGACCTATGGCTAGCTGGCTCTAGCCCCTCAGGAGAAATCCTCCAATGTCCCAGGTAGTGGGCAGGGCCCTGGGGCTTCCAGGTGAGTTCTTATTCTCCACCACCACAGAGGTGGGAAGGGGAGTTAGACTGGGTGGGGCTGTCTTAGATGAGCCTGCACTCAGGCACCACAAAGCTGGTAAGGTAGCTGTTTCAGCAGGGTCAAATGTCCATTCCCAAGTTTCTGTGGAAAGACTCTAGGGAGGGGCTGCAGTGGCCCCACCCAGCCAGAAAGTATGCTTGTGGGGGAGAGGCCATCTGAGATTCACAATCTGGCTGTCAGGAGCATTTTTTGCTCTTCTCTCCCCTCCCTTGTTTCACAGTTTCCCTCTAGCATCTTCCAGCAAGCTGGAGCTCAAACTAGCTGAACTCCCTGATGATGGTGCTGTGGGTTGGCAGCTTCTCTGTTCAGGATCCCACCCTGGGCTGACAGCATGGCCTTCCTGTAGGGCAAGGGGTGCTCCATGAGTGTGCTGTGGCTGGGACTCATGCTCTACTCTCTTTTCAGTTCTGCCCATGCAGGCTCCCTCCCCTCCCAAGATTACAAATCTCTCCTCTGTGTTCCCAAGCAGTACAATTGAGTCCTGAGGGTACAGGATCTGGCCTGCAGGCCTGTCCCCAGGTTTCTGAAGTTCAATTCATGACTGTGCCAGCGAGAAACATGCTGATACTGAGTTTCTTGTGGGTGCTCAAGCAGGGTTGGTGTCTCTTTGCTTTGGGGTATGCCCTGCTCTGATGGAGCAGCCATGCAAGCAGCACTAGGGAGGGCCAGTGATCAGTGAACTCACAGTCCAAGCGCCCTTTAGTCTGCTACAGTTCTTTAAGAGGAAAGGTTAGATCTCCACTCACTATGGAAGCCTCAGTAGGGTGGATGAACCCATAAAGGGGAAGCAGCCACTCCTGAGAGCCCTGGCTCAATCATCTCTCTCAGCAGCCATGGGAAAGGGAGGGGAAGAGGACAAAAAAAAAAGTCTGAATGAAGTAAAACCAGCACTCTGGTTATCTCTATCCCTATCTCTGGAAGGCAGCCCAACCAGAATGTCCAGTCTCTAGGGTCATGTAGATTCCCTGGGACCCACCAGACCTCTAGGGCTCCTGCAGTCTGGGCCAGAGTTGGGAAATGTTTGTATGGGAACTAGTGAGATGAATACTGAGACTGAAGAGATGAAGCCCCCTGGGGAGGACAAAGGTGCACCATGGGTAGAGAAGCAATATGGGACCTGCCATGTCTACTCAGGCCTGTGGTAACAGGAAGCAACCCAAGGGGGCTGGAAACTTGGAGCATTGTCCTTAAGAATCTCCAAGTTCACTGGCAGCAGCAATTTTTGGGCTTATGAGGGTTGAAAGGCTCTCCAGCAGCTCATGAGCCTGCTGATTGCCAGAGAAGTAAAGGAGGGAGAAAAAAAATAACTCTACCTACTATTTTTGCAGAACTCCAACCTTTTCAGGGGCTGATCTCTGCTGACATGTTGCTCCTTCTTGTTCTGCTCTGTAACTTCTTCCCATGGAATCTCTGGTAGGTTTTGGCACTTTTCTCTTGGAATTACACCCAATATATGTTTGCTTGTTTGTTTTTTCTTTTCATCTAAACTTTTCTTTCTTTCTGAGATGATCTAGCAGCTGGTGTGTCTGGTTAGCCATCTTGTCTCCCTGCCTATTTAAAGCTGACAGGCTGACACCATTCCCGGTGTTTTGTTCATGCTATGCATTTCCCTGCACCAATATCCCAAGGGAAATGGCAATACACATTATCCCTAAATGTATACTCCAGAGCAGACCAAACAGCTTTCATCAGGGAAGAGCTGATGGCATTTACTAAAATAGAAAGAGGTGAAAATTATATCCGTGGCCACCATATGCATCATTATCTACTTAATACAGAACTCTGTTATGTGTCAAGAAAATTAGATGAATCTCAGTAAGATTAGTGAGCTTGTGGCACTACAACTTGTCCTATTCCCACTCTCTGCTTCCATTTCTGCAGTAGCCTTAGAAATCAAAATTGGAAATTATGGTACAAACCAGCAGCTTAGACAGCCACTAGAGGTGGGGATGGGGATGGAGCCCTTCTGAAGCTTCATTTCTAGAGAATTGTAAAGCACAATGACTAAAATGAAAAATTGGCTGGGTGCAGTGGCTCATGCCTATAATCCAAATACTTTGGAAGGTTAAGGTGGGAGGATTGCCTTGAGGCCTGGAGTTAATGTCCAGCCTGGGAAACATAGTGAGATCTCATCTGTAGAAACAAAATTTAAAAAAATTAGCTGAGCATGATGATGCATACCTATAGTCCCAGAGAGGCTGAGGTGAGAGGCTATCTTGAGCCCAGGAGGTCAAGGTTACAATGAACTATGACTGGGTCACTGCGCTTCAACCTGGGCAACAGAAAAAGACCATGTCTCTAAAAATGAAATAAAATAAAAGGAAAAATTCACTAGAGTGTCATACCAGCAGATTTGAGCAGGAAAAAGAATTAATATTCTTTCTTAAAGTATGGAAAAAAGCAAACTTGAAGAGAGACAAATGAGATAAATTCAGTCTGAGGAGCAAAAATAATAATAAAAAGGAAAATGAAGAGAGCTCCAGAGACCTGTTGGACATCATGTACCAATGTATGTATAATGTGCCAATGTATATATAATGTGAATCACTGATGGAAAAGAGAGAGGAGAAAGGGAATAAAGTATATTTGAATGAGTAATGGTGAAAAAATCCAAAATTTTATTAAAAGAAATCATTGATGCATATGTTCAAAATGTCCAATGGACTCCATGTAGGATGAACTTAAAGAGAGCCAGAAAAATCACAACAAAACTGTTGAAATCCAAACAGAGACTATCTTAAAAACAGCAAGTGAAAAGATCCTCATTATGTAAAAGATATCCTCAAAATAAGATCATGACAAACTGTAGAAGTCAGGAGGCAGTTGGATAACATATTTAAAGCACTGAAAAAAAATGACTGGATAATTCTATGTCAAAGAAAACTACCCTTCAAAAATGAAGAAGATATTAAGACATTCACATTTTAACAAAAATAAAATCACTAGAAAACCTTTCCTACAAGAAATATAAAATGATTCTTTAGGCCAGGATGAATCTTGACACTAGGTGATAATTTGAATCCACAATAATAAATAGATAGCACTGATAATGGTAATTGTATAGGTAATTGTAAATAACAATATAAATGCAGTTTTTGTTTGTACCTTTTTCCTCCTGTCATATTTAAAAGACATCTGCATAAAACAATGTTTATAAATCTGTTTTGATGGACACATAATATATAAAGATATAATTTATATGACAATAATGACACATAGGAAGGGTAAATAATGGAGTTATATATGATAAAAGTTTTTGCATAGTATTGAATGAAGTTGGTATTAATCTTAAATAGATACTTATAATATATAAAATTTAATCCATAGAGATATCACAGAGAAAACAAAAATATATAGTAAAAGAAACAAGGGAAATAAAGTGGTACAGTAAATATATGTATTTAACATAAAAGAAGAAAGTAATGGAGGAATAGAGAAACAAAGAAGGTATAAGACATATAAAATACAAATGGCAAAATGGCTGACACAGATTCTAACTTATTGATAATTAAAGTAAATGTAAAAGGATTAAACACTGCAATTAAAAACAGAGATAGGCAGAATGGATTAAAAATATGATCCAACTATAGGCTGTCCATAAGAGTCACACTTTAGATAAAAGAACACAAGTATCCCCAAAATGGAAAAATAAGCACCACATGTACTCACCAGCAAATAGGTTTCACTGATCAACACCTAAATGCACATATAGGAATAACATTTATTGGGTAGTGGGCAGGTGGGAGGGGGGAGGAGGGGATGGGTATATACATACATAATGAGTGCGATGTTCATCGTCTGGGGGATGGACATGC